CATCCAATACAATATGCTCACACGAAAAATAGTTCTCCTTATGTCAATCATACAAGTACTGAGGATTACCACACCTAAAAAATTCGGATCATTACAACACATGGACAACATAGGGGGTCTTGCAACATAATCCATTCAGAGACATGACACAACATGCAAGTACAATAATCTAATGACAATTTCAATTGGTATCTAAAAAAGAACCGGGATTACCTTGGGCTTCAGATAGCAGAAACAGCAGGACCTCCTCCATCTTCAAATGCAACATTCTTACTTCCTCCAATTCTTGGGTTGCTTGCGTAATGCGTGCCGCTAATTCCGTAATTTCCAGCCTCAAGATAAAGATTACCTCATTCATGGCAGCCACACCATCTCTTTCTGCCTCTAGTAGAGCCTCAAGCACTATAATATCTGTGCTTAGACTGCTTTCCGGCGGTGTTGCCTCTGAACTGCTAGCATCTGGTAACATGGATGGCGCACTGCTTCCACAAATAGATTCTGGGGTTTTACATTGTGTCCTAGTGTGAACGGCATCATGAAAGGTTTCCGCTGGACATAAGTAAGAGATAGTTATCGTATGATCCAGGCAGTAAGCTTACATGGTAAACAACGAACGAATTATTGCCGAGCATGGCAAACTATATTTAAATGGTTCGAAGCAGCGTCAGCCGAAAAGAAATTAAAATGGTAAGATTAAACTAGGGATGTAAGTGGCAAATAAACGACATCCGCCAGTCCCATCTAGTTAGTTTTTGCTACCTCCCTAGTTCATTTTCCTCAAAAAACAAAAACTCTTTTGAACTATCATACCACTAGTGGACTTTAATCGGGATTAAATGGGTCCCAGTTGAGATCCCTAGTTGAAAGGGAGTGTACCACCGCTATATTTAAGTTGCCAAGGCATCTAAGCAGTTGAAATAATCTGAGAAAGCACTTAACAGTGTGGCCTCATATAAACTATGAAGACAGTCTTGTGATGAAGTTGAGAGGAAAAGTTAAGGACTCAAATGAAATAGGCATGCATTTTTTTACGATAGTACAGCAGGCACTGCTGACATATTGGCCAACTCAGGTATAGCGTAACAACAAACAAGCATTCGAATCAAGCAATACAGCAAAGCAGACAACTGAACCATTTGTAATTCCGTAGGATTACAGGTTGAGGGCACAAGCCAAGAAAGCAGCCCACTCGCATTACATTTCACATGTACTAAAACACACTGGCTTACCATATGTTGCTGTGAAGCCTCGCTGCTGTTGCAATGTTCTTTGAAGATATCGTCAGCATCCCATGGTTGCAAATCTAGTTGTTGTAGTTTATTCTGCACCCTCTATTTAGGTAAAATTAATTTTAATCGCATGCACTGGTCCGAATTGATCATCAATGGTTCATCTATACTAATGAAAGAAGGGTGTGTGCATACACGACAATATATCTGCTTCCGTCCATTTTTATGCTTGTTCGAGGTGCGAGCCCCAAAAGAACAAATATTTTGCTTGATGGTGTTGGCAGCTCCATAATTAATTGAAGCATCAAATTAGTCATGCAACTTGGGAAGATCAAGAACACACAAGCAAGTAATGAACAGAGGGTCGGAGCAGTGATGTAATAGCTAGCATCAAAAAATGTAGGGTAAAACGAACAAAAAGCAGCAGAACCACATGCTAGTTTGCTGATGTGTAATTAAGCATAGAGAACATTAAGCAGTCCGATGGAACCAATAGGTGGCATCAGAACAAAACTAAAACATATTAACTATATGTGCACTGGTATGTAATTTAGCACATGTAACATGTTCACTGCCAGAAGTATGGCCCTACAGGTGCAAGCAGAATAACGCGTCTCATGAAAACTGAATGATGCCCTGAAGAAATTCAAAGGTGCGGTACTTATGCTAGGAAAGTGAACGTAGGCGCCGGCCGTTGGATAATAGTACCTGATTCTCAGCGGCGTATGGGTATCGTTGTCATACTTGATAGCTAAGGATCGTCGATGGTGCTTGTGTTGCGGTTGAGTTTGGGCCGGCTGTCACCGTCGCTGAAGCGGCTCTGGTGCTACGGTTGCGGCGCCTGTCGACATACAAGAAAGCTCATCTGTGGTAAGTGAACAGTTGCACCATAAAGAGAAAAACCAAAGGAGTACAAATCAAAATAACATGATGAGGCTGCAGCGTCGGTAAAGTAGGGCCGGTGGAGTTGAATATGGCATCCGTGGAGCGGGTCCGGTGCAGTGGACGAAACCTTCGGCGGGCGCGTTGTACAGTGCTTTCAGTGAGGCGGATCTGTTATGGCGGACGAGGGCTTGTATAAGGGCCAGCGAAGGGGTGGACGAGGGAGTCAGTGAAGGGCCTACCCTGTGGTGCACGAGGATGCCGGTTAAGTAGATCCGGTGCGGTGGACCATGATGGCGGTCAAGGAGATCTGGAGCGGTGGACAAGACACACGGTTTTAAATAGCGGGCGCTATGAACGCTATTGCGGCCGCTATTGCGGTAGCGTGTCCTAGCCGCTACAAGTCAAACGCTGCGCTAGGAAATAGCGTGTTTGGCATGATGCGGCCGCTATAGCGGCTGTCAGAGCGCAATAGCGTATGTTTAGGTAGCGTTGGTTGCGGTCATAGCGGACTTGTACCTGGTATAAATTTGAGATGCGCACTGAACCGGCCAGCCCTAACCCTAAATCAACGCACTCCTCTCGTTCCCCTTCTTTTTGGCGGGCGGCGGCTCCCCAGCGGCAGCACAACGGCTCCCCAGCGGCGGCTCCCCAACGCCGGACGACCGGAGGCCGGACGGAGAGGCCGGACGGACAGCTGATGGCTCAACCCCCATAGCCCCTGCTCCCTTCCCGTTCGTTGAGGACTTGAGGCGGCAGTCGGCTGGGCGGCCACTTCCTGCTCGACGCAGATCCGCCTCCTGCTCGACGACGACGGGCCATCTCCGACGACGGTGACAGAGGGAGTCCCCCTCTTACTCGACGGTGACCAGCGACGAGGCAGTCCCCTTCCTGCTCCACGCCTCCACGCCGTACCACTCGTGCTCTGCTCTGCTCTGCTCCAATCGGGCAGCTCTCACCACGGTTCAGAGTCAAGGTATTGGCTTTTCTCTGCTTCTCATATACACAAATCGATGCATAGTTACTAGTTCATCTCACTACTCAGTGCTCACAGCGGCACATAGATGAAATTGTAGGCCACTGCTCACTGCGGCACATAGTTACTAGTACGTAGATGAAATTGGGCGGGGAGCAAGGGGCTTAGAGCATACAAGTACATAGGCCACTGCTCACTGCGGCACTAACCACTTACTAGTTACTAGTTCTCTCGACTAGAACAAGTACTGAAGCACCAGATGCACAAAGTTTAGTCTGATTTTATCTGTACTATACTCAGACACTCAGTACAGTACTACCGTCTCTGCATTTTATCTGTACTATTAAATTTATGTTTATAAATTCAGTTTATAGTGATACACTTGCACAGGTTTGTAATTCAACAAATCAACTATCTGCACCATGCATGATCTGCACTGGTAATTCAGTCAAATTAATAGCTTATGTTTGTTTCTTTTCCTGCAGTTGTAGGCTACTAGCGCAATGTCTTCAGTCGGATCAGGGGCTTCGTCTGCAGCAGCAACCACAACTGGTAGAACAAGAAAAGATGCAGCCTGGGAGCATGCTTTACCAATTACTGATGAGTTTAGGACCAAGAACAGAGTTGGGTGCAAATATTGCTTGAACTTTTATAATGGTGGCATTACAAGATTGAAGAAGCACTTGGCTGGACTGAGGAAGGACTGTGTACCTTGCACGCAGGTTCCTGATCATGTTAGAGAGCAAATGAGTGCATTGATAGCTGAGAATGATAAAAAGAAGGATAAATCACTAAACAAAATGTTGGCGCTGCGAGAGGAGGTCAGGGGGATGTATGATCAGGGTGGGAATGAGGATGAAGATTGTGAAATTGTTGAGTTTTCTCCTGCTGCAAGTGGAAGCTCTCAACTTCCTAAGAAGCCTCTGATCAAGGGTCCAATGGACAGGTATCGTGCACGGCCAGGAGCAGGGAAACAAACAACGGTGAATGCTCATTACAAGATCAAAGAAGCAAAGACAACTTATGATTATATCTGCGAGTTCTTCATTGAGGGTGCCCTTGCACATAATCTTGCTAGTCTTAAATCATTTGCTCGAATGGTGGAAGCAATTGGACAGTTTGGTCCAGGATTGAAGCCACCGACACCTTATCAGCTTGCCAACCCTTTGTTGAAGATACAAGTTAGCAAGGTAGATGAAATGTTGAAGGTCCAAAAGGAGGCATGGGTTGCTACTGGATGCTCTATAATGACTGATGCTTGGACAGATCGTCGAGGAAGGAGCTTAATGAATTTGGTTGCCCATTCTTCCAGAGGCGTGTGTTTCCTCCGTGCCATTGAAGCTTCAATGGAGGTTCACGATGCCAAGTTCATCTTCAGCTTGGTCATGTCTTGCATTTCTGAAATTGGTGCTGAAAAGATTGTTCAAGTAGTCACGGACAATGCAAGTAACAATATTGCAGCAGCCAAATTACTTAAGCAGAAGCATCCTCAAATATTCTGGACCTCATGTGCGGCCCACACAATCAACCTAATGCTCCAAGACATTGGAAATATACCCATAGTCAGCTCAACAATTACCAATGGTAAGACCATCACAAATTTCTTTTATGCACACACTAGATTGTTGGCTATTCTTCGCAAGTATGCCAAAGGTGATTTAGTCAGAGCTGGTGCTACTCGATTTGCAAGTCACTACTTGAACTTGAAGAGTTTGTATGGGAAGAGGAAGCAGCTGAAGCTAATGTTTGCATCAAATGATTGGGCTGGCGGTAGTTATGCTAAGAAGCCATTGGGCAAACGTGTGTACAAGCTCGTAATGGACAATAAGTTTTGGGCCAAGATAAACCTGCTAGTGAATTATTTTGAGCCACTTGCCAATGTGCTTAGGCGGGTTGATGGAGACACTCCAGCCATGGGGTTCTTATATGGTGATCTTCTCCAAGCAAAGCAGGAAATAGCAGTCCGGCTCAACCATGTTGAGAAAAAATATGGTCCTATTTGGGAGATCATAGATAGAAGGTGGGATAACAAGATGAAAACAGCGCTACACAAAGCTGGTTATTTTTTGAACCCTTTCTTCTACTATGATAGACAGAGTGAAATGGCTGAAGAAGATTTCATGGAAGCAGTCATAGAGTGTGCATCTGTTATGTACAAAAATAACATAGAGGTGCAAGACAATATTGTCTCCCAGCTTAGTTATTATACTGAAGCCATAGATTCATTTGGAACTGACATGGCCATTAGACAACGCAAAGTAGCAACTATCACTCCTGGTAAGAATGCTAGAACTTGTGAGAGTCTTTCCTGAATGTTGCAACCTGGTAGTGATGTACTTATTTATTTGTTTGACTTGCTTGTTTGCAGCAAGATGGTGGACCGTGCATGGAACTTCTGCAAAGGACTTGAAGAAGATGGCTATTAGAATCTTGAGCTTAACTTGTAGTTCTTCGGCATGTGAAAGAAATTGGTCTGCATTTGAGAGGGTAATAACATCCCCAATTAAGCTATTCCTCAATTGCTTAGTTTCTTACCATTTTTTGTTTGCATCATGTGAATTACTAAATGGAATGTACTATTGTATTTGTATTTTAGGTACATTCAAAGAAGAGGACCAGACTAGGCCAGAAGAAGTTGAATGATCTTGTTTATGTGATGTTCAACAAGAGGCTGGACTCGAAGTACTCTGAGAGGGAAAGGGACCCACTGCTTGCAAAATACATTGAAGATGATCCACCAAATGAGTGGATGTTGGATGAAGAGCTACTACAAGATGATGAGTCATCTGAAGATGAAGCTGAAATTGACATCAATTCAAAGGGGAAACAAAAATCTGTAGCTTCAAGAACTAGAGGCAAAAGAGCTCGTACAAATCAAGATGTCGAAGATGAGGAGGAAGAGGAGGAAGTGGCAGAAGAAGAGGAAATGGAAGAAGAGGATGAGAACCAAGAAGCTGAGGAGGACAATGATGAAGACCAAGAAGTGGACATCGATCTGACTGTTGAAGATGAAGAGGATGATGAATGACTTGAATCTTGCTTCTTACATGATCTGACTTGAATCTGTTTTATTGTGCGTGATGGTCGTGGCCTGACGGTGTCGTGCACTCTTGTTCTCACTTGTCAACTTTGTTAATGTGTCATGCACTCATTTCTGTTTTTAATTCTGTGATGGATGGATGGTAATTAGGTCATGGCTTGATGGGTGTAGACTACGAAGTCTGAACTTATTTATTTGATGATGAGTGCCTATGAACCAAATATGCTGGTGGTTGTTGTTTGATATCATGATATGGTTGGCTGTTTGCATAATTCTGTTCAATTCAAGTGCTTACATGGTTGCATGGTTACTACTTACATGGTTGAATATTTCCTGATGGACCAATTATTCAATTCAAGTGTCATATTGTTTTCAATTGATTAGAAATATACATAATAATATGTAATTTGCAAGTGCTTTTACAAAAGCGCTATGCGGGCGCATAGCGTCCGCAATATCACCCGCTATCCGTATTCCGCTACGCCGACCTCAATCCGCTATCATCCCGCTATCCGCTATTTGAAACCTTGACAAGACAGTCGTTGAAGCGGCTCCGGTGAAGTGGTGAGTTGGCAGTTGGGGGTTCCAAGGTGCGGAAGGTAGATCCGGCGGGGTGTGAGGTCCACCGCTGCGGCGAAGGACTAGATTCGGCGGCTTGCCGTGGTTAGGGGGGTCGGGGAGGGGAAGGGGAGGGGCTCTGGGGAAGAATGTTGGGGGCAAAGAGGGGAAAACAATGGAGTTACCAAAGCAGCCCTTTTTCGTTCATGTGGCAGGGGTAAAAAAGGAATATCGCAGGGCTAAACTTTCGGGCACATGATATTTCGATGTGAGCAGGAACTTTGACAGCTTTTGGCGCCTAAAATTATAAGTATTCTACTCTCGTAGGGCCGACTATGATATCATGGCCGACAATTTGTTTGTTTTGCACGCAAAAAAATGTGCAAGTTTTGAAAATCAATGTCTCCAACTCGAAACTTAGATTGTCCATTCAATTCAAATATGGATCATTGAGCTACTACAAGCAAATACCATCATGCGGTCCAATTCAAATGAAATTCCAAATGTGTTTATCCTAAAGATGATGACAAAAGCAAAAATGTGTATGTGTATGAATAAAGTGGATGGTTATAAAGTTTGAACATGCACGTATGTGTATATCTCTAGGTTTTATATATGAATTTGAAATCACGAAATCCCGGCTTAAAAAATGTACCTCTGTTTAAATGAATTACAAAAGCTAATAATGGAGTTGAATTCCAAAATTCCAATCTTAGGTTTGTAATTCTGGTACATCAAGGTATATCACGCATGTTCAAAAGTATTGTTATCTCATAGCACAAACTGTGAAACAAATTGATCAACCATGAGTGCACAATATCTAAATTACGCTAAAGTCCCTCAAATATAGACACCTCACTCTTTATCTAAAGTCAACCCCCCCCTACCACCACCACCACACACACACACATAGAGAAGTCGTTCTCTCCCCCCAAACACCAACACACGAGCACATTAACACCCCTCTCTCTTGTAAAGTCCGGAACCCAACATAGGTCTCTACCACTTTGTCTCTCGGGCATGCACACATCTCTTCCCTCACTCTCTAGGTCTCCCGCTATCTCTCTTACCCAAGCACACACACTATGTAGAGTGTATATTTCCCATACACATAAAACGTCTCCCCCAAACGTCTATCTCCCTAGTTATGTGGTTCTCGCGCACTCACCTCACACACCACCCCCACTGCAAACAAGCACACTTTGTCTCCTTGTGCACCACTCTCCTCTTTCTATCTCTCCCACATGCGGACCCACCCCAGCTCCTTCCTTGTATACATATATGTCGTGACTCTTTCCATAGCTCCCTAATGTATAATCGTTCTCGATTTCGCACATTGTTCTCTACACCGTCTATTCTAGATCTCTCATGAAGTCCCTATCACACACACGATGACTCGCTTCCCTTGCCTCTCTGTTCATAGGCCAATTTCAGACAACATCAACATTGTCTCCCTATCTATATGCCATTTATGGACACAAACGACCCCTCTCTCCCCCTCTCTTCCTCTCTCTCTCTCTCTCTCTCTCTCTCTCTCTCTCTCCATCGCTAGCTCTCTCTTTCTCTCGCTCTCACACCCCTCTCCCACATACACACTCGATGTCTCTTCCAAATAGTCTGCTCCCCCCGCCCGCACCCGTGCTATCCCGCTACTACACACGTCACACCATTCCCCCTTCCCTTATACTAGGTTTACATCATCAGTGGTCTCTCTACTCCACATACACTCTCTCCCTCTCACACACAAACGCGTGCACAAACACACACAGACACGCACAAACACCCATTTATCTGGATCCTCATCTCTCCCCATGTCCGCATGTGTAACTCACACAATCACTCTCTAATTATGTATATGTGTCTCCACGTTACACAACACAAAGCCCCATGTACATGTCTCTCTCTATCCTCCACACACATAGACACAAAGAATCTGTTATCATTGCCTCAGTCTCTAACATATCACACACGCACACTGTCTCTCTCTCGCAAACACGCTCAACAAGGGTTTCCCCATGAATAACTTACCGTCTATTCATCAACAGTCGTGGAAGTACGGCGAACACGAAACATGAAAAATAATAATTCTACACGTGCTTAGACCACCTAGTATGACTACTAGGACTAGAGCAAGCCAAAAAGCGCGCTGCCGTCACCCCCTCATTGTCGGCGACGGGAAAATCTTTGTTTTACACAGTCGAGAATTCATTGTGCTAAGGCCCAACATGCCGAGGCGTTGAATAGAATGTAGATGCTAGTTTACGGAAGCAAGTATAGATAATACGTTTGTATCTCCATACTTATATTTCTTCTCTTATAAAAAACTGAGTTGGTGATGATGGTACGTGTGCCATCTTGCAATATAGAGCATCCGATCTATATCTGACGAATGGAAATTAAACTAAAAGATACTCGCACCCCTCTCCACATTTGCAGACAAGGCCTTCCCTTGTTCATCCTTATCTCCAACAAACCTCATTGTTGAGCAATTAAGAAAGGAAGCCTCTGGAACATACTGGCCTGGTGGTCGCTGTCGGCGTCGTCAATCCCCATGCCTCCGCTCAGTCCGACCACCAACCACCACCACACCCCACTCCTCTTCACCTTATCTCATATTTCTCGAGATATCATTAGTTTTTACACATGGGATTACTCCCGCAAGGGTCAATCACAACAAGTGTTTTATAAAAAAATGCATCTTGATGTTCCATGCAATGCATGGATCTTGCTAGTACTCCTACACAAGACTAAGTTGGTGATGCTGGTGTGTCTGCCATCCGTCGTTTCTGACCATTAGATCTACATCTAATGATTGTGAGGTAAGTTGTTGCCTTTTCTCACCAACATCCCACTTGTCTACCAATTTGCAGAAAAACCCATAATTAGTATCTTAAAACAAACCACATCCCTCCCTGACCTCACCAAAACAGCCCAAGGAATATATTCTAATAGAAACATAATATATCTCTAGTGACATATGTATATCAAAATTAGAGTGTTTTGTACCAAGTTTGTGAATAAGTATTAGTCTAATTATGATTCGTTGCAACGGACATGAACATTGCTAGTATTTCCAACCATGCATTTTTTCCTACTATTCCACAGTTTCGAGTTTTCCATCAAGATATTAGTCACTCATGGTTGATATTTACTTTCAATCATGTACACATATGCGCTATGTAACTAGCCTTGCTTATTGGCTTCCAAAGCTTAACTTTCACACCTACTTACAATATGTAGAGTATTTAACAAAAAACTACCACTTTCAACGAGCCCTAGGAAGAATCTATTGTACAAAAAAAAGCAAAAGCATACCCAAAATTTCTTAATCCACGCCAAAAACTACTACCTAGTACTCCTACTGATTAGGTCCGTTTAAACCCATTTATGACAGGGTTGGCCCACACGTCCGTGCTAACGAGGCAGCTTAAACCAACACATTTTGTTTGACCGTTGACACGAGGGACCCACATCTGACCTTCTATCCTGTTATTCCCCCTCAAATCATTATTTTTCCTGAACATTACTTCAAACAATACTGATGCGTGTTCATTAGTGGCGCCGGTGATGAGTGAGTTGACCGCCGCTCTGCTGGATGGGCCAGACGCCGTGCTGGCCTCCGCACGGGTTGGCAGGCTGGCCCGAGCGTGACTCACGAGCGAGCAAGCCACCGCGCTGGCCTTCGCTCGAGCCAGAGGGCTGGCCTTAGCGCGGCGCGCGCGAGCAAGCCGCCGCGCTGCCGTGTTAGTCTAGCTAGCAAACCATGCAGACAAGCAGCTGGACGGAGCTATCTTGGCTAGCTAGCGACTGCG